AATAGAAATGAAAAGGACTCCCCAACTACTACTGTTTATAAAAGCTCTAAAATAAGACGATGGACACTACAACAAAAAAAACTTTTAGTGGCAATAAATAGACACATTAATAAAGAGTAATAAAGTCTTTACCGGTATTATTTAAGTATCATTAGATTCAGTGTCGCTAAAGGCTTTAGGACATATACAAAGAGTGATAATTGCAGCTAAATATACATATCTAGTAGCAATTAAGCTATTTCCTCTAATTAATTGCTCCTAAAGATCATTTTAAAGTAGTAAGTAGTCGAAACAAGACCCATGACATCCTAACAAAATAAAAAATATAAATGGAATCCTGCAGAAGTAATGAGGTTCATCAAAGCTAACTCGAACTGCAAGTGATATCAACGAAGTGCCTGCTGGTGACCCTAGTTACCAATGTCTTGCATCATTAAAGATGCAGGCCAAATGATATCAGTATATGAAATATACAAGTATGCAAGGGGAACTCTAAAGTACAGACTTAAGCCTGAACTTGATAAATGGAAGAACATATTCACCTCATCTCAACTCAACTCAAGGATACTTAACTCAATACAATATAAAAAAGACAATGAAAATGCAGTTTATATAAACCATTTATAACTGTAGATAAAAACTCAATGTATTTAAAAATCAGTAATAACTTTTATTTGAGAGATTCTCTAAGAAGAAACAACCATCACCATGAGCTTTGTGATGATACAATGTCTCACCCACTCTAACAGAACTATCCTATACCTTGTTGGAGTATAAGACATCCTCAACTAAGTGGATCCGCTAAGTTATGCTTAAAAGCAATAAGAAATCGTCTAAAAAGTATGACCCTATTTCTATACACGTTGGCTACATTGTTTATGAGAACTTTGAGTTGTTGGAACTCATCCCCATATCGGTGCTCAATACTACTCCTAATAATATAACTCAGCTCATACGTTTAAAAATATTTCTTCATCCTCAAACTTTGAGATTATTATTCAAAAAGTTCTCTTAAAAGAGATTATACTCAAAATTCTTCATAAACTCATTTGGAAATTGATGTTCCTTTCATTTTAAGTATAAATATTTATTCTTGGAATACTTAGTTCTCGTATATTTATTTTTTTAAAATGAAACTCAACTCTTCTAATCCTCATACTCAAGTACTCAAGTCTTAAAATAAATTTTAAAAGTTTGCAAGAGACTTCTCAAATGAGTCAAAAGAACATCATCAAACTCTCGATCTTGAATTTGTATTATGAATTTAATAGTTATGATTTGGATATATGGAATTCTCAATGATTAGATGTAGTTTTATTATTTATAATTCGTAAGAGAGTAAGGATACATTTTAAAGGACTTAGACCGAGCAAACGACAGAAAATGAGTGGAGGCGAGCAACTCTGGGGCGCTGCTGGTATGGGGCGTCAACCCCTAGACTGCAGAGACCTCATTTGGGCGCACTATTGGCATGCCAAACCATCCCTTTTGGTGCATCTAGGGCACGACGCGCCAATTCTTTCCCTAGATCAATCCAACAAATTTTTCTTCTCATTTTCTAACCCTGATTCGCCTAAAATCGATCCATTTTCTCAAATTTCAATTACCTAATACAAGAACACGAGAATCTACTCACTTTTACTCAAGAACAACCTTCAAAGATCAAAATTTTCTCCTCAAGAATTCATCAAACTCTATAAACAAGGCATGTAGAACAACCCATTAAGAATTCAAACCATTCAACCTCAAGAACGAAATTGCGGATGGAATTCACATAATTGGCGTGTGGGTGAACAAACTCAATACTATGAAAATTTACATACCTCGAAGGAAAGAAATCCTTGACGAAAATCCTCGAATTCGAAGAACGCTTGAACTTTCTCCCTTTTTATCCTCTTGAACTTCTCTCTGAAATCCTAAACGTGATTGTAAATTATGAAAACTAACCCAAATTAGTTTAGACCCTTAAAACTATTGCTAAAAACGTATAAAGTTGTTGGGGTAAGGAAAAGATCAAAATACCTCTCATTAATTCGGGTAAATTTTCATAATTGGACAGGCTGAACTCAAACAGACATATCTCCCTCATCTGAACTAAGATTTAAGCAAAATTGATGGAGTTGGAAAGAGGATTCAGAGATTTTTCATTTGATATTTTATGGGTCACCTAACTCATCTTGTACGGAAAGTTACGACTGTTTGAAGTTGACCCAAAATTTATAATTTAAGGCTAACTCACAAAATTTTCAATTTAGTTCTTTCCAAATTGGTTATTGCTAAAATTAGTTCTTTCTAAGACCAAGGTGTTACACTTCTACTAGAAAAAATATATATATAACTAAGAAGGGTCGTCTCAACAAGTTTAGGCCTAAAACCAAACTTCATAGAGGCCTTTTTTTTTAGAGTTGTCACATATAAATTGACTAATTATAACATACTCAATATAATTCTACAAGTGAAGTCTCGAGAAAGTAGGAAGTACACAGACCTTGTAAAGTAAGAATGTAAACAATGAAAAAATATCTTATAAGGTTAGAATACTAAAATTTGGCTAATTTTTTTAAAAAGCTTAAAATAATGATAGTGAAATACGTGTGTTGAACTTATAAGTTAATATAATGATATTAAAATAGTATTGATTTGTTATAGTACTTGAAACAAAGAGAATATACTAAAAATAAATTTGATCATTTTATAAATATACAACAATAGATTTTGCATAATGCAAAAAATTTAATCGTTTGATAAGGTTTAGAATATTTAAGAGAGAATAGAAATAAAAAAAGTAATAAAAAGATAAATGTAAGAATAATAATGTGAATTCATGATAATCATCCGTATATGAAAAAGTTAACAAAATAGTTAGTAGTATAAGAAATTAAAGGAGGCAACAATTAACTAAACACTACTATTTTTCAATTATTACAATGACCTCTGCATTAAATAAAGTAAATGGTCATTAACTAATTATTATATTTTCTATACAAAAGATTCTTTTCAAATTGAGCAATACATCATATATATTTCATCCATTACATATTAATTGAACTTTTGAGATATTTCACGATCTTTAAACAAAGTAGATTAAAATATAAGTTGAATATAAAATCAAATAATTATTTGTAAAATAAAAAATACCTCAAAACTTTAATTAAAATATGGAGGGTGTATAAAACCGGGACCTAAAAAATTTGAGGTCAAAATAATTGTTTTAATGATCTTAACTAAGCAAACATAATTACTATGTTTACATAATCTAGTAATATGTTATCATAAACTATAGTCGCATTAAATTACATAACTATAATTAGTCTACAAACATACGTATAGACCTGGGTATAAATACGTAAATTTCCTTCATCAGTTTCAAAGAGAAAATGAACAAATAATTGGCTTCACCAAATTCAAATGAAAATGGAAAATAAGTATATATGGAAGAAATTAGAGCACAATTTTTAAGTCAATACGCGTCATCTTTGGAAACTTCAATGGGTCCCTTTATATTTTAATGTCATTTCAATTTAGGGTATGATTTGTAGAAAATAGGTTTTTTTCTTTTGGAATTATTGATAAGGTCTGAATTTTGCTAAAAAGAGAAGGCAGTCCTCTTAAGCAAAGCTAATTTTGCAAAAAAGTTTTGAACACCATAATATCCTCATATTTTTCATTTTAGGACCAAAAATTAATATGTTGAAATCCGAGTTGCAAGAAGATTGAACTAAAATTAATAACTCAAATAAAAAGCAGTTACTGACTTATCACTAATAGATTAGCCCTATTTGTTATCATTTTTTATTTTATATATATTAAGAAATTAAATAAGTTTATTATTTTATTGTTATTTTATGTTTATAATTTGAGTCTTTTTTAATGGATTAAATCGATATTTCAATAGTAAATTATATTTATATCATTTTTTATATAAAGTCATTGAGTAAAGATTTAGTTTCATACTTTTATTTTTAATTCTCTCAAACTCTCGATAATTCTACAAGGTGTCAATATTTATTTTGAGCAAATATGCAATCTTTCAATTCATATGCATAATTTTTTTTATTTGCAAATACTTTGTTTCTAAGTAATTTTTAGTGTCTTTAAATATCAAATTTAAATAATTAAATCGATAACGATCAACAACCAATAAATTGATATCTCAATGATTTTATAACAATCTAACATATTGAAAAACTCATAATCTATAGTCCAATAACTCAAACTAATAAATTTAAAAATAAAATCAAACCGACTGTTGCACAACCCTTAGTTAAAACCAACCTTTCTAATATATAAAAAATAGGAGTGTGCAATAAATCAAATAAAAAGAAGTGATTTTAGTTTATTACAATTAGGTTGACGATTTTTATTAACTTTTATATATATATATATATATATATATATATATATATATATATATATTGAGTTATTTGGTAAATAGATAGCTCATTAAGACCATAACAATTTACCACTTTTATTTGTATATAAATGTTATATAACTCTCAATACCTTAAAAGTTACTATCTTTACTTTTATAGCCTTTGATTGACACTTTGCAGTGACTAAGTTCACAATATCACATTATAAAAAACATTAAAACATAAAATAAAAATCTTATTTCTCTTAAATTTTTGTTATATTTGTATAGTTCATTTTATGTTAGTCATTATTGTTTTATATTTAACGACTGTTTGTAAAATTATATTATTGTCTAATAATTATATATTTCTTTTACAACCATTTTTTATTGATTAAATCAAAAAATCAAACAGCAACGAACCAAAATAATAAACGAAAAATTAATAAAATATATATTAAATATTAATTTAACATATTTAAAAATAATATCTAATTTAACATATTTAAAAATAAATAAATTAAATCGATAATCCAATCGACAACACTTGTAAAAAAAAAAATAACAACTCCATTTATTTTGTATTTAAACCGCCCATTTTCATCATCCCAATAATACCATAATGTTTTTTATGCATAAAAAAATCTCATTTTTATTATTCCTATACATGGTATCCCTGGTTCATATATCATATATAAATAAGGGAGTTTGGTAAAGGAGCAGAGGTACAGAAAGCTCTTGGGTTTTGCTCATTCACCGCTATTCCAATTTTGACCTTCTCCTTTTTTCCCCTTCAATTCAATTTATCCATTAGAACCAAACAATACTGATCTTCGCCGGCGTAATTCCGGCCCCGGCAACGGTCCCGGCAGAGAAGATATTTTGTTGTAAAATCAGCTTCGTCCATATGACTGAAACTACGATGATTCAAACCCTACGTTATTACCTCTCTGAACATCCTTCAATCGTCGGATTCCGATGGACTGATAGCCAATCATGGGGCAACACGTGGGTTTTCCTGTTTATTTCGATATCGGCCTACATTATTTTATCAGTTTTCCTCCATCTCTTCCTCCTCCTGGTGTTCCGTCACCGTCGTCCTCTTCCTCTGGGTCCGATCCCTGCTGTTCACTCTCTTTCCATGGCGTTAATCTCGTTTACTATATTCGCCGGAATCCTCCTCTCCGCTGCGGCAGAGATCCGTGATACCCGTTGGTTCTGGCGGAGGTACAAAACGACAGCGTTTCAATGGCTTCTGTGTTTCCCTATCGGTACTCGTCCATCGGGTCGGGTTTTTTTCTGGTCCTACATCTTCTACCTCTCTCGATTCGTTCACAGTTTGCGTACGTTTTTCACCATCCTCCGTCGTCGTAAACTGTCGTTTTATCAGCTATTCAATCACTCCATTTTAATTTTCATGTCATTTTTATGGCTTGAATTCTCCCAATCATTTCAAGTACTTGGTATAATATTAACCACATCAATTTACTCAGTGGTTTATGGTTACAGATTTTGGACTGCTGTTGGATTACCGAGTAAGTGTTTTCATTTTGTGAATCACTGTCAAATTGTGTTGTTGAGTTGTAATGTAATTTGTCATGTTGGAGTACTTTTGCTTCATTTGTTAAGAGGGGGATGTAATGGAATTGGTGCTTGGATTCTCAATTCAGTACTCAATGCTGCTATTCTCTTCTTCTTCCTTAATTACTATGTCAAATTGCATTTGGAGAAGAAGAGAAAAATTGGAGCGGATAAACAAAAGGATAATTGACCTCTAGCTAGTACTAATGCTAATAATATATATGTATATTTCTTAAACATTTTTGTAAATTAATTTGTGTATTTCTCTTGAGGTGGATACATGTTTATTTAGTATAATATATAATATATATTAATTTTCATAATTATTACAACTCATCCACTATTTCAATTTTCTTATATTGTTCCAACAACGATTAAATAAACTTCATTTCTATTTCTATCATCTATGGGCTGTTCTATTTGAACGGATAAGGTGGAGGAACATATTTAATCATAATTTATCCATTTTTTATGGTGTTGTCGGTAGATGAGTTTTTGATTTGTTTAAATCATATGGTACTAAAGTAGTTGATGTTTATGACAGTTTTATATTAATACAACTTAAAAGAATGAAGAGCCAATAAAGGAATTGACTATAAAATATAGTAATTCATGATGACTCAAGAAAAAAAAAGGAGTTTGACTTTGTCATTTTTTTTTGTTTTGTCGTTTGAAATTTCGACTAAATTTGAGTGGCGCTCCACAAGATCTATTCAGAAATGAAGCTTTTAGTATGATTTTTTTCATATTCAATACTAAAACTTGAAAGTAATAAATGAGAGAAACACTTTCACTAGTGTATCACAATCCATATCGATGACGGGTTAACTTGCTAGTTGCTTAGTCATTTTATTGGTGCTCACCAAGAATGTTGACCTAAATAACATGGGCTATGACTTTCTACATTGTTACTCAAAGAATAGGTGGCTGGATTTTGTTCTGAAGGACAAATTATATGTAGATTTGTTTGGGCCAAACGTGTTTTTTTAATAATAGTAAATAATTATTTTTTAAAACTAAGATATTTGATCGAGCTTCTTGAAAAAAAATAGGAAAAAAAATTTGAAAGATATTTTAATTTTGGTTAAAACTTTATACCTTTACCTTTAAAATATACTATTAAATAGTGGAAAGAGTAAAAATTTTTTATAAAATTTAATTTTGTGTCAGCCCTTTTGATCTAAGTTTAAATATATTTGAGGTCTTTTTTCAAAAAAATATATAGGACTTTTTGAATACTAACCAAAAAGAAGGTTCATTAGTAGTACTATTTTTGAAGATAGGGGTACCACAAATAAAAGAAAAAAATAGCTAAAAAGAGTCTGCTTCCTTTCCTTTATGATCTTTCACTTTTTGAATCATAGCCAAGCACAAATTCTACTTAACACATGGATATAAAATGCATTTTAAATTCATAACTCAAATAGAAAACACTACTCTCTAAAAGTAATTTTTTTTTCTTTTAACAAAAAATTACTCCTCATAAAAAAAATGATTTTCAAAACAAGTAAATATAATTAAAAGTTTGATCTTCTTAGGTTTCTTCTAAGATTGATTTCTTTCCCATTTCTTTTAGGGTTAGTTGCAGAATATAGCGAATCATCATTATTCATTGGCTAGGTGAGTGAAAATCGTTGAATTCTTCTCGTATCTAACTATATATAATAGGAGAGAAACAACAAGAACATACGTATAGCAGTCACAATTAATTTTGAAATTTTAGTATTTAAAAAATAAGTTTGAATATTAAAAAAAACATGTCAGCAATAAAAAAATAACCGATTTTAGATTCTTTAATATTTGATTATAAAATTTGTCTATATATAATAGAAGAGGAAAAAATAACATACGTGTCAGCGCCATAAATAATCTTGAAATTTTAGTATTTAGAAAATCAAATTTAAAAAATAAATATGTTTTTAAATAAAAAACACATGCAAACAATAAAGAAATAATCGATTTTAGATTCTTTAATATTTAATTTAGAACTAAGTAACAATTAAGAAGTTTTAGAAAAAATAGAAATAAATTTTATCCACTATTACACATTGCCAGAAGTTTCAGAAGATACAAAAATAGGGTGTGTGATTCCTTTTTTTAGGGGAAATTATCGCATTTTTTAATTTTAATTATTTTAAAAGTCTTTTATAGAAATATTTAAATTGAGAATTGAGAAATTAATTAGTTTTAAGAAATAATTTTAAAAAATAAATATCTAAAATATAACTTGTAGATATAAACGTTCTTCTTCTTCTTATTCTTCTTATTCTTCTTCTTATTATTATTATTATAATTATTATTATTTAAAACATTTCTTTTTTTGGGAAGTTATAACATTTTTAATTTTTACTTATTTTTAATGTCATTTTATAGAATTATTTAAATTTTGAATTGAGAAGTTAATTAGTTTTTTAAAAAATAAATATCTAAAATATAAATTTTGACAATAAAACTTTTTATTGTATTATACTTTTTAAACGGTTCCAAAAAATAGGATGTGTGATTCCCTCTTTTGTGGGAAATTATAACATTTTTAATTTTTAATTCTTTTCAAAGTCTTTTATGTTACAAAGTAATATAATGTGGTTGTATAATATACCAAGATATTACTACATAACCACCTTCGTTACGAAGGTAATTATAATCTCTAACTTTATAATCATTATTCTTGTAACTTTTTATTTTCATAATCTTCTCATTATATTCATGTTAATGTCTGTTAATGTCATGTTTATGGCTATCCCTTTGTATGTTAATGTCTGTTAATGTCATGTTTATGGCTATCCCTTTGTATGCCTCTATGTTACACTATAAATAGAGGCATAAGGTTTCATATTGTAGAACTTGAAGATTGGGTGAATACTTGAAAGAAAGAAAGTTATCTCATATTTTTCCTCTTGTCTTATATTCTGCTTGTTTTCATCTTTAGATTATTCTTTTATTCTTAAGTTTTACAACACGTTATAGCACGAGTTGCTCATTCTCCGTCAAGAATCAATGGTAGGTGATTTTTATGAATTATTCTATTAATTTTTTTGTTGCATGGTATACTTCATAACCTATATATTATTTGTATAAACAAAGCTTGTTTTATAGTTATTCTAAAATGATTAGTAAAATATAATAATCTTCATAACAATGTTGAGAGGGACTATTAAAATATTTAAATTTATATTAACTTGGGTCTTTTATATGATTCTAACATGTGGTTCTAATTAACTGACTTTATTCATTTTTCTTGTATATGAAGTAAAGTTGAGATTATATTTATGATTTTCGATAATTTTTTTTTTGGTAATACATTTGGTTTATTAAGGCATTGGTTGAGGGTAAGACGGTAAATTCAAGTTTCACTGCACCAAGTGGGTAAGACATAGAGTTAAAGTCTTAGTACACCATGATAATAAGAAGTTGGGTTCAAGTCCCAATTATTTATGACTAAAGGTGTTTTTTATATAGGTAAGACATTGGGTTAGTCCTAGTGCACTATAGTGATGATATGATGATGAATAACAAAATGTTTTATAATTTTAACTGAAAGTCATGAAATTTACCTAATTAATTTGCTCCATTCTCTTATATAAATGTGGTAGCAGTGTATGAATTTGTCTGAAAAATGACAAGTTGTTGAATGTATTATTATTGTGGTAATTAAAAGGGAAGGTAATTGTTATAGGTAATTTTTGTCCATCAAAGTGATATGAGAAGTTGGGCACATTGTTATAGATGCAACCCAATTTAAAAAGTTTTTTTTTAGGTTTTACCATTTTAAGTTTAAAATAGAAAACAATTGCACTTTTTTTAAAAAGACTTTTATTTTTAAAATACAAATCTTTGAAGGTTTGACCTAGAAATGTCAATTGTTTATTGATTATTTAGTAGTAATTTTATTGGTTCGAAGTTTTTTCATATAAAAAATTTAATATTAATTAACAATTGTTTAAAATCTAAGTAGAATATGATGTAGACAAATTAAATTTAGAAATGTTATTTATCTCTGACATATTTTGTGGAAATATAGACGTGTATATTGTGTAACAAAGGAAACTGAAAATTTATTTTTAATCAATTGTTATTATAATCGTGCATTAATTTTAATTTTGCCATCTATTTATGTATACTTGTGAATAAAATTTTAAATACACAAACTTCCAAAATAATTTTCGTTATAGGTAGAAAATTTGAATAAATATGTAACATACCATTATAATATATTGTTATTGTTGAATTAATGATTTAATTTGATTTCAAGGATGAATTTAATATTTTTATTTTCTAAATTTTAAGTGAATTTAATATCACTTATATATCAATTCAGAGGGATAGATCATTTATTGTGAATTTGACATGTAAGTAATAATGTCACGCCTTAAAGAGTACTTGAAAAATGATAACTAACACGTTATTGAAATAATTGATTTTTAAATATCGATGATAAATTTTAGTATGCCTAAATTTATCAAAAAGTATAAATAAAATAAATTACACGAAAATATGCATAATAATTTTGATTTAATGTTTTGTTATATAGCTATCGTCCAAATTGGTTATAGATGATAAGTGTGCATTTTCTCCTAAGTATGTCTGGATATCATCTTTAAATAAATATTAAATATGAGGAGAAATTTTAAGATTTTATAAATTATTGTGTTATTTGAAATTATTGAAAGTTGACTTTTCTTTAATTCTACTTATAAGAGACGAAAAAAATCTTCAATATATGTCGTAATAATACTTAAACATTACTAAATATAATTCATGGATAATGTAGTTAATTCATTGAGAAAGTTTATCAATTTTTTTATATATTCATAATATATACACCTATAAAACTAAGTCACAATATGTTTATTTCAATTTTATGTTAAATTTGAATCGTTTAATAAAGATTTTCTCCATTTATTTATGATGAATATTTTCTTTATTCAATTTTTTGTTACAGAAATAATGGAAAGAGATAAACTCATTGGAAAAAGAGACCATAATTTAATTTGGATACCTGAAAATAATGAAGCACAATCAAAAAAAATTCAAAGATAAAATCACATTAAAAAAAGAACATAAATTATGTATTTTGTATTCATAGAGTGGATAAAAAACAAATAATTAAAACTCTGAAAGTTATAATCTGTTTTAAATTCAAATACTTCAATAGTATAAGTTAGATAAAGTCAAAACTTTAATACCACAAAAAAGATTGATTTATAATAAGTTTAAGAATATATTAAACGTGAGACAATGATTAGATTTTTAATTTCAACTTTTAATAATAAATTAATAATTGTTAATGGCTAAATAATTTTGAGTTCCTAATAAAAAGCACCAGTTAGTT